CGAATTTGGTCAATCTAAAACACTAGAAGAATGTGCAAAATCTAAATGTGAGACAAATGTCCCCAATACACACACACACCCAGGGCCAATTCCACAAAGGCTTTTTTTTTTTTTAATGTTTCCAGTAAAGGTGATGGAGATCTTGATCCTGCAGGAAAATATCACACAGGACTCAAAAGAGCTAAAAATTGCCCTTCTCATAAAGCGTGTCACCAAATGTATTCTTCTCCTTAATTTTATTTGAGGAGAGGGTTGTCAAGAGCAATATTACGTGCGTAATCGCAGACACTGACACATGCTGCTGTCATATATTCTACATCTGGATAAATAACAAATTTAACTTTAAAAAATAATGCACGCCACACACAGCAGCTTTGAGTGTCCCACCACACCAGTCAGGGACCAAGGGAGACAAGACCTATCATGTCTCCCCTCAGTGAGAGCAGACATTGTTGACTCGCTGTAGTCTCGGAGCGCTCAGCCTGCGTCCCACCACAGCTATGCACTGTCTGACCAGAGCCTCGGAGCAAGGGTGTGCAGACTCACACGTTTATGGATGCATGCAAACATTACACAAACAAAGTCAGAAACATATGCATACAGGTACAAAGACCCATACATAAACCAGTCTCACACTTTCTCTAGTTCTGCGGTTTGCCCTCTAATCCACTTAGTCACAATACACTGAAGAGCAGGAAAACATTCACTTTCTTTTGATGTTCCTGACCTTTAATTGTTCAGAATTAAGACCTTGCTGTTGATTACCTCATACATCCGTTATACCATAATCTGAGTGGGGGTGTTTCCCGTTTGGGGGTAGACGTTACACCTGCCAGACAGTTCTCCAAAGCTCTCTGGAAACCACCTTGGGTTGAAAAGCCCAGTTTCTTCTCCACAAATCCTCCAACCCTGGGGCTCAAGTGTGCCAGTCTGTCAACAGACATTAAGCTGGTAGTATCAAATTCTACTTAAAGGACCATGCGACCTAATCCCCAAATAAAAGATACCTGCGTACAATAGCTTCTTTAGAGACTAGATTTTGGTATTGGAAGTGTAACGGTTTAGTTTTTCAGTCAGAGTAGTATTGCCCTATCCGGTTTGAGTGAGCTTTGGTTGCAAGCAGGTAAACAGTGCATGTGGAACACAAAAGAAGCGGTACACCGAATATGCAATAACCCTCCTGTTATCCTTGGGGTCAATTTGACCCCATTCAATGTTTTACGTATCTAAAGAAATGGTTCACATTATTGTTTTTGCTTAGTATTTCATGACTTTTCCTAATTTAGTGAGGACTAATGGGTAAACATAAACTTAACATGAAGATCTTTTTTAAATGTCCTGTATGCACTTTGTACGCATCGGTGTTCCTTGGGGTCAATTTGGCCCCAGGCTGTTATAGTAGTATAAAACATATAAAAATGTCAACATTTTACACATATTTGTGTTGATTGTGTAGGATGATATTGAGGTGACTATTACATGCAAATGTATCATTGTAAAAGAAAACTACCCTCTGCTTTAGTTATTGGTCCTTTAACAACATAAAAAAGATCTTACTTTAACATTTTATTTCAATCAGTGAGATTTTATGGTGATTTATATATTTTTCGATAGTCACATAATAGGAATTCTGGATGTATAAAGGGGTCTGTGGGGGGGAAGGTTGGGATAATGTTTTATTTAAATGGTTATTTAGGTAGTCAACTAAGATACCTAAAGCACCAGAGACATACATTTTGGTTAAAATTTGGAATATGATCATTGTCTTGAGTTTTAAACTACTGGGGTCAAATTGACCCCAGAGGATAAAGGGTGTAAAGTAAATCTGAGGATAACAGGAGGGTTACAAATCTGACGATGACTAAGTTGTTTTTATTTGCTTAAAATTGGCTTGTTAACTGGTTACTTGTGAAACAATCCAATCATAGGCGTAGCAACTCCATTCTCACATCTGAAGTTGCTAATCCGACTGTTAACAACAATTGGGAAATATAGGCCTGAATAGCTACACTGGAACCCCAGAAATATTGAACTTTGCCCCCGAAGTCCTATTGCATAAGAACAATAGCCAATATATTGCGTTCGACATTATATCAACAGTAAAGTGATGTTAATCCCTTGAATTTGACCAACCACGCCTGGGTTATCCTGTTATGGGGCCCCACACAAACATTTACTGTTCAGGCGCACTTTGGCCCCCTATTCCCCTTCTTTGTATATTCTCTTTTTCCTCCACTAATTACAGTGTACCGCGGTGCAAACAGCAGACTAAAAATGGCAGCTTCATTATGAGGCAAGAGACCTAAAAAAACAACCACTATCCCTGTGCTGCAATAATAATACTAGCAGGTTTCCTGTTTGCACATTTGGAATCATTTGATTACATCTATTTAGGAATGTGCACTATATGAACAAAGTAAAAATAATGAGGTAATTCAAGGTCTTCTGCACCAGCTAAGGGCTGCAATCCCACAAAGTTGAAAGGCTTATGAAGACACATTAAAGGAATACTTTGGATGTTTTGAAGTGGGGAATTATGATGTACTTATCCATAGTCAGTGTATTAAATACGGTCAATGACCATCCGTTCCCATACAGTTTGGAGAATCAGACAGGAGTAATAACAAAGTGAAACAATGTAGTTCTGTGGATGCGAAACGTATATTAGTACCTAAAAAATAAAGCTTATATCAGTTTTATCAGCCACTTCCAGAAGGAAACTGAAGCCGTTGTTAGATTAGTATGCATCTATCAAATAATTTGTGCTATTGTGTGACTTTGGTGAATCTGAACTAAGCCTTTAAAAGTCACAATAACATAAACAACAACCTGATTAAAGGGGCAGAGACCGGCAACCTGTGCTGTGCTCAAGAAAATAACGATTATTGTCAATGCAGTCAGATAGAAAAGGTCTTAACTTTGTCTTTGAAGAAAGCATATATAACGGCTTTAGTTCTTGATGGAAATAAGGGCCGTCTGACGGCAAGGTTAAAAGGGAGAAAACTCTAAACATAGCGTACAAGTTAACTAATATTGATTTTGTTGGGGAGGCCTTTCTTTTTAATGGCTAAAATATGTTTTCCTGTAGGTAATACGGATGGTTAAGTGTATACCTAATAAAACCCAAGTTCAAAACACACAAACTATCCCTTTAAAGTTATGTATCAAATGACAGTGTGAGATGGGTTGACTGAACCTGCAGAACATTATCACCCTAATGCAGACCCCCTAACATTTTTCATTGTTTTCAGCTATTTTCTGCAAAAAAACCTCTACATGCCCAGAACGAAATGGCAGACTGATACAGACGGGTTTTGGGGCCATTGGGAGTTTGAGTCCCTAGGGAAGTTGCCTGCCTGGCCCTGTTATCAATCCAGCCCTTCTTGCACCTGTGACCTAAACACACACTAGCACAAAGGGACAAAGGCGACGCACATGTAGCGATGGGCAGCCACACATGCGTAGCCACCCACAGTCAGACAGACAGATAGGGAAACACTTAACCGGCGTCTCACCACAAACACACAAACACACAAACACACACACACAGACAGACAAACAGACATAATATAGATGCACGGAGCAAACACGTCAAATATTGATTCTAGGCTGACATTTTTGCATAACAGTGTTATTTTTGCAATTTAAAATACAAAATAAGATTGTTTTGCATGCTGTTGTGTTTGTAGTGCCACACTGCAGTGCCACATATTTGACTGAATCGGAAATGATTATGAAACCTGGGACCAACTGGAGTTTACAAAATCGTGCATCAGAAATCTCTGCAACACTGCCATCTGTAGACCATCAATAATGCCTCTGATGTCTCAAGACACTCCCTCATTTTCTTTGCTTGAGTGCACATTGTCAGGTTTGGTCTTGCATAACAAAATAAATGCACAAGTGATTTGTTTGAAACAGAAAAGCAGAGTGTCTGGCCCAAAGGTAATTTTCTGTTTTTACTTTATTCTTTTAAATGCATGGCTTCCTCCCACAGGCCAACCATATGTAGGCCAGGTGAACTACGTGACCTCTGAATTGCCTGCCAAGAGTGGATTTCTCTGAGTTGTGTTTTAGCCACAGAGTGACCTGTCCAGAATGCTGATCCAGTGACCCTGCACAGAAAAAAGCAGCGATAGAATAAATTGATGATCATACAGAACCCACATCTGATTCATACAACCCATATTTAGAAAAACATTAAGAAATGCTGTGAGCTACCAAAACAAACAAGACTAAATGGTCATTTATACCAATTTTACTTCACTTACTAACCATCACATGTGTCTCCGAGTTAGTGTTTACTTTTTTTCTAAACCTTGAATAAAAAATGCAAGTAAACTTATTGGGCCCACACATAACGGCATGGGTCTTTGAGCAAATCTAAAGTCTTTTAGACAAACAAGTAACATCATGCCATCTAGTGACACATCTGGGAGCTGCACAGGCCAAGGACATTATTACAGTTTTACAGTAGACTTTATGGGTGTTTAATATGTACAGCTGTAAGCCCTCCATTCACATAGACACAATTTGATGTAAAATCAAAAAGAAAAACATACAAAAAAACAAACAAATTATTCCCTATGCTATCAGTAAAAAAGAATTCACCAAGTACTATTATTTGACAGATTATATCATTACAATGACATAATAATAATAATCCATTAAGGTTCTATATTCCCTGTGTAATGTGTGCCATGCTGAAGCACATATTAAAAATGAGATTTTATCTCAATGTTTTTATCTGGTTAAATAAAGGTTAAATAAAAATAAAAATATCAGACTAGTTTTGGAGTTCATTAGTAAATAGTTTGTTATTTTGTCAGATAAAATGTTGTGCATTTCAAAGACATACTTTGATCTAAGTAGAAACAAGTCTCATTCGAATATTTACCGTATTGAATAGCTTTTAAAACGAGCTCTAACTGCATTTGTAAACCAGAGTTAAATAACTTTGTGAGAGGGGGCGTGGCACAGCAACCTCGTTACGTCATATCTCTGCGTCGCATCCACCTTCTGACATTTTCAATGACAGTTTGCACACATTTTGTTACATTTCTTTGATATCAAAGGTGGTCAAATCATAAGGTGACCGCTATGCACAGAGCTGTATATTCCTGTTCTAATATCGTCGGTCCAGCCATGATTCGCCAGTGTTTAAAATGCAGAGGTAAGGAGAGCTACAGCTAGGAGCTAAAGTGCTACACATGCTAAAAACACTTGGGTCGTCTGGCCAGGGTGTGTATGTAGCTACAACGTTAGCTATGTTATGTATTGTTTCATAACTACAATTTTTGTGTTGTTACTGTATCATGCTTTCAGTCACAAGTCACATGGTAGCAGAATAGTTAGTGGACATAATGCAAACAGTGCAAACAGACTTGTTAACAGTTAACCACTCTTTAAAATTAAGTCGGTTGCTTTACAACGGGGGGAGGGCTATAGTACCTTTCCTTCAATACAACTTTCAAAAAACACTCATGCCACTTAAGTCTTTTTGTGAAAAGCATCCAGGCTTCAATCTGAACATATTGTACAGTTTTCTGTTAACAAATGAGCTCTCAGTAAAACGTAATTTTTGCCACAAAGTCCAAGAGCGAAACATAATTCCCTTATGGTTTCGATGTCTGTCTTTCTGTAAATGTCTATTTGTAATTGTGTTGTAACCAGACTGTAATGTTTTATGAAGTGCCCCAGCAGCTGAGCTCACGTGCGTACAGTGTGGTGCCGACCCCACGCGACAGTGAGGAGAAGGAGATGCTGCACCGGATCCTGCGCGTGGATCACGCGGGTGAATACGGGGCCAACCGCATCTACGCCGGCCAGATGGCAGTGTTGGGTCGGTCAAGTATAGGACCTCTCATCCAGGTATGGATAAGACTGAAATAGGACTGAATCTGCACAATGGATCAATAAGCATCACTGTTTATATCTGAAATGTATGCATTATCCAGAAGGCATTTGAGGAACTCGAAACAAAATTGAGATGCTTAATACTAAAGAAGCCCTGATGGAAAATACTTTTTTGATTTTTGATTTAAAGTTTAGATCTGACACTGAACTCTATTTAGGTGAGTTTGGTAAGCTTTATTAAGTGTATATTCAGTTTCTAGCTTAGTGATAAAGACAATAATTCATAGAAAAAATAAGCTGTAGAGAAACTGTAAAACATTTTTGTATTTATCAAATGTTATGTGTTCAGGACAAGAGCTTTTGCATCATTGTTGACTCCCTATGTTCATGTTTGTCTTAAGGAAATGTGGGATCAAGAAAAGGTACATCTTGCAAAATTCACTGAGATTCTGGCAGAGAGCAGAGTCCGCCCCACAGCGCTGTTACCCTTCTGGAACATCGCTGGCTTTGTATTAGGTGAGTACAGCTTTTAAGCATAGAGCAGAGTGTTGCAGGAGGAGAAAGCAAACATGTCATTGTCCACCTACATATTTGAACTTGATGTTGACTGCGTTGACCATAAACACGTTCTTACAAGTTTCTGAGCTTGAACCCTATTTAACAAGTTTGTCTGCTCTAGTTTTATAGGCCATTTGTAGTCAGCTGTAAAATCCTAAATGTTTAGTTCTTCTGTTTTAAATCTGCTCAGGTGCGTCCAGTGCACTGCTGGGAAAAGAGGGCGCCATGGCCTGCACTGTGGCGGTGGAGGAGAGTATTTCAGAGCACTACAACAGCCAGATAAGAGCTCTGATGGAGGAGGACCCCGACAGATACACTGAACTGTTACAAGTGAGTAAACCACTGTTGTACTCATAGTACATGCTAACGCCTTTTTGTGGTGATAAACGATACAAGCAATGTAAAACATTTTTTTACATATGGTATGGTATAACACATAAACAAACATGCATTTGAACAAGCGTATACATTTTACGGGCTGCATGGTTAATAAATATATATACATACAGAACCATGAACCATAAGATGATTTAAAAATAAATAAAAGAAACAAAGATCGATGAGTTCACTTAATGAATGCTCTTTCATATTTTTTATAGGTAATAAAGGAATTCCGAGATGATGAGATTGAGCATCATGACACAGGATTGGAGCATGATGCTGAATCGGTAAGTATATTTTAATTTCCTTCACTCCACAATCACTCACACTTTGATTACATTAGAGTCAAAGTACAAAATACACAATCAGTAGTCATTTCTTTATGTATTCAGCTGTTTTTGCAGTAGTTTAGTGAACATCTTTTAAAGTCTTATATTGTTTTATCTGTTTTTTTGTTTTAGGTTCCTGGATACTGGATACTTAAAAATGCAATTCAGCTTGGCTGCAAAGCTGCAATATATGCTTCTCAGCGAATCTAACATTGTGATTGGAATAATGGACTTTCTTTGGACAATATTTGACATGTTGACCCAGTATATATAAATGGTTTGAATTTGATTGTTGTACTTTGCAAGATACAAACATTCAAAGCAACCTAGATAAATCATAATGTCAAATCATGTCTACAATGTATAAGACATGGACAGTTTAATTAAGTGTGTTGGTCAATAAGCTGCATTCAGACCAAATTGTCATTGGTTGGTACAATCGCTGGTGTTACTTTCATAAGTAGAAAAGAGACTCATAACATAATTTTTTGGGTGTGGGATTGTAAATGTGTGCAAGAGAGAAAGACAAAAAGAGACAAAGCTCCTGTCTTTAAAGAATGGGTAATTGTTTTGCTGCTTTTACAAAACAATATAATATCCAATAAAGAACACCATTTGTAACAATTGTGTCTGTTTGTTAAGCATAGATCTTCCCACAAATGCAATGGGGGAGATAGAGAACACGCGTATATACTATAAAAAACATTCATTTAAATACAGGGATAACAAGCAGCCCCATAGCCACAAATCTACTCTTCATATGCTTTGAGTGTGAACATACCAGAATTGGCATAGTTTAATATGTTTATTGTAGTAAATAGCCAAATCATTTTTTTGTTTTATCAATAAAAATAAAATACGTGCAGGTGTGCACTGGTCTGCTTTAAGTCAGTTGTCATTAAAGTATAAAGTAATTAGGTTAAAAATTATTTAATATGCTGTAAATGATGTCTTGTACTGTACGATTATGGGCAAAATTAATCTTTATTGATTCATCAGTCATTTATTTTCTAGATTTATCGATTAATTGTTTGATCTATAAAATGGCTTTTGAAGTGTTGCTTTTTCAAATTTAAATGAAAGGGCACTGCTTTCAAATTCCATGTTGTGCTTATCCTGCCTGTGTACAAATGTATGCATCATAAATGACGCCGCTCCTTTGAATTCAGTGATTCAATGACCTACAGAAGCATTTAGCTGATTCAAGATGTTAGATTATTGTGCAGCAATGGACAAAAGACCTCATGCTTGCTGTACACCAAGAGATAAATAACTAGAATACATGTAATGAGGACGTATTGTTACGAGCATACACAGCCATCACACCCTTCAACATACTCTCCTGTTTCACATGTAATAGCTCATATATCAAGCTGAGCAATGACTTGTCATCCTAGGCTAACTGCTAAGCCTCCTCACACAGCTGTTCTGGGTACATTATGTCACTGAGAAAGAGGGATTGACAGGGGGCTTGTCAAGGGGCCCCTAATCTATTAGGCCTTTCAGCAGGTTGAACAAATTGTTCATTCCCCTCTTAGTCAATATCAGTTTGTCCTCACTGTACATTGGGTAAGCACCAAAAGCCTTTTTACCCATGATTTGGCCTTTTCATCCACTGGCGACATGATAAGGGATTTATGGCAGGCAATGGGGGCTGATGAGATTTAAAGAAGTCATTTGATGGTGTAGTGTCTTGGCTCTATCAGGCAGTGAGAGTGGTTAAATTGAAAACGTCATCCTATGAAGGCAGATGCTTAACATTTTAATGGGAAAGCCAGCATACTCTATCAAAGGGTCAGGCCATCACGAGCTGCAATACAATGTACTAATCAAGTCCTGAACCCTAAACCCAATTCTTTCACCATTCTTCCATAACCTTTAACCTCATTTCAACCTGGTTTTCATGATAGACATAGAACTTTGTTTACAGTTCCCTCTGCTTCACTTTCAGCTTTGCGGTTACACTGCCAGTTGTTTAGTTCGAGCTGCCTTGCTTTTCTGTTTCGACTGAGTTCAGACCGAAAGTCTTGTGTGGGCGAGGGTCCAAAAAAGTTTGGATTATATTTTCCAACAATCTCATTTCTTACCGTCCAGCACGTTGATTGAAAAACTTCCACGGTGTTCAATACTGTTGAGATCTTGTCATTGCAAAGGCCTTGGCAATAGATCATCATCGATGAATCAGCCAATCTCTAAAACTATTCTCATCATTTAATAGTTTGTCTTTTTTTTTGCCCATCTTGGCCGAATGATTGGTCTGTCAATTTATCTAAAGTTGGCTGAATACAGATGAAATCATCTCAAAGAACATTAAATAGATTACCATGTACTTTTGTTCATGGTCCCCAGGCCCAGTAGTTCAAAACTTGTAATACCTATCTGATCGGATCAGATTTGGATTTTGGGTAGTTCAAAACCAAAAAACAGGATTAGGATCACTTTGATATCCGATCAGATCAGGAAATCAAATCCAAGCTTTAATCTGGATCAAATCTTCAAAACGGGTAGTTCAAACCGACAACACAGGATTGGGGTGGATTTCCAGAGTAAACTGTACTGTACAATTTATTTAAAAATATGTTTCAATATAAATAAGATGGCAAAGTTTGTTAACTGAAATAATACACCATTTTAAGCCTTCATGGCAAATCAATTTAATTTTTAATTTTTTGGTCACGTTTGTGGTGGCCTATTTTGTTTTCAACCAAATGTTGATGACATAAATATTTATGCTCATAAAAGTATCACAACAAAGATTGTCAATCACAAATGTAATTTAGATTAAAGAAAAAATATCTTCAACAAAATTAAAGTCCATCATCTGTCATCACCTTTCAAAACTAATTGCGGACCTGACCAAACCAAACCAGTGAGTTGAAAAGATGGACAAAAAGGGGCCTAATTTTGTATCTGCTGAGACCCATGCACTGCTGCAGAGTGTAAGGAATAATTATGACTCCATAGTTGGTAGCTTTAACAGAGAGGGTGGAGCGACCAAAGTAAAGAGCGGAATATGGATGGAAGTTACAGACAATGTGAATGCCACAGGATCTGGACACAAGAGGACGGTGGACCAAGTGAGGTTGAGGTGGAAGAATTTGAAGCAGCAAGCTACCAAAGACCACAGCCAGGCTAAAAACCCACAGACGGGTAACAAACCATATAAAAGGGGACAATACACAGATGTGGTACTTGATATCATTGGTGGTCAGCAGTCACAATCTTTACATGGAATACCAAACGTTGTACTGGATGGTGAGTCGCAGGTATGTGTGATTTTATCCTTATCCCTATAGAACTACAATTATTATCTTGTATAATTGCTATTTTCATAGTACTACAATGGCTATATTTCTTATATAGCATCCTTGTTCTTATAGTACTACAATTTTCCAGGAGCTTGAATGCTTTTGATCATCTTATTAAGGGGTATAAAGTATATAGAGAAACTTTCATTTCAGGTAGTCAATGCACCCGATGTGACACACACCATTCAAGACGAGGTCCTCCTGACCCATGTGGATCCAGAAGCTGGACCTTCAGCCAGGCCTGATTACACACTGCAAGAGCCACCTCGAAAGAGAAAATGCAAGCGCACCAGACAACCAGAGCAGAGGGATGATGCCTACGAGACACTGCTGAGCCGTGACATGGAGAGGGCAGAGATGCAGATCCGTCTGGCCAAAGAACAAATACAGCTGTGCCGGCTTCAGCAAACTGAAACCTCACTTAGAATGCAGCTCCTCAAAGTACGCCTGGATGATCCAGCTGCCTTTGAATAATGTTTTTTTGTTGTTACCCTAGTGGGAGTATTTTTTTAAATTACAATTCCATTATGATTTTATGTCCTTTATGTATTTAAAAATATAATTAGACATTATAGAAGTCTCTGCAATGTGGTCTCTTGTCTTCCTTGTATTCTTTTTCATATCCACTGGATGGAGATCGGTAGGATTAAAGCACTGATATTCAGGATCTAGTAATCTTGAAAAGTCTGAATCTGGATCAGGGTGATCCTATCCTGAATTGCTTTGAAATACTGGGACAAAATCTGTCCGAGTTGTCTGATCCTGGATCACAAAAAATGGGATTTCAAAATCTGATCGGATCTGATTGAGATTAAAAGTTTTGAACTACTGGGCCAGTTGAATCATTTTGAGATCATACTTGTTGATCCCCTGTCCAATATTTTGGTTTATGACATTCCCATCAGCCTCAGCTTTAGTTTTGTGCTGACTAACATCAGCAAGTTAGCATTGCTATTGTGAACATGTTTGCAATGACATGCTGATATAAGCATACCTAAAAGCACTGAAGTACAGCCTCACAGAGAAACTAGCATTACTTTTAAAAGCATCTTAACCATATGGGATCTGATTATCATTATCTTTGAACTTTTCCAACTTGTTGATGAACTTTCTTGTCACAATTGTCTGTTATTTGTAAATCAAACCATTCATTGATAGATTGACTGATATATTCAGGTCTTAATTCACCCCCTGTCTGTACTAACAGTTTCTCACGGAGGTGAGCTGTGACCCAGGTTCACATGCTCGGATCTATTTTGCCTAGCATGAGGTAAGAGGAGCTATTTTAGCTGGAGTGGGTTTGCATATCAGACATGACCTCAAGGGTTAATGTGACATATGGCCTCCATTCCTTAAAAATAGTTTTTTCTTTACTGCCCCTCAGCCTAAGTAAGAGCTGAAGTTAAACAACCGCATCCCTGCCGTGTGTTATGATGATGGACATTATGAGCTGGTTGTTTAGTGCAGCCTGAAAACATGAAATAAAATGCTGTGTATTGTAATTCTAGTCCAGTGGTCATATACTTCCTTTCTTACAATTTCTGCATAATATAAAACAGTAATTAAATCATGGCTTATCAAAAAAGACAGTTTGAATGCATGACTCTCTAGTAATTCCTTAACCACTTTCTAATAATTTGTTTAATTGACATTTTATGAATTGCTGACCAATGAGTCCCTTTAAGGATCCCTGTGTGCGGCAACAATTGTTTCTACGAGCTACAAGTAGAGTTCTGACTATCTTCACAGAATAAACACAAAGATTATGTTATTGTACGAAAGTCATAAGAGGTCACACCGATTTGCATAAGCAATATGAGACCATGCGCAGCTTTACAAAAAAGTGGTACAGGATGATATATTCTCTCTGCCCCAGATTAATAGTGCTGACAGTTTTATAGCAAGGTGCAACTGTTTAAATAAAGCTGCAGCTCCATCTGTGGTACAATTTTGGGTGATGAAATTACCACTATATAAAAACAGGAGTGATGACTCAGTCAACATGTAGGTGTTAATAACCGCAAACCATCCACTTAACATCTAAATTAGCTGCCACTCTTTAACTGTAGATAATCGTTTTATAATATCTTATTTATCGTATGTGTAATTTTTAATTTCAGTTAATCAGAGATTTGCTTTATGTGTATGGGGTTTAGGAGTTCATGTGAATTGTTTAGGTTCTTTTCTCAGAATGACTCAAAGGAATCTGCTGAAGCACTGAAAGAGAAGTTGGCAACTTGAAAACAACAATTTGAAAAGGGCAATAAAACTTAACTAAACTGGGACTGTCTTGCTACCCATGAATAATGTGGT